TATTGTCCGGATGGGCCAAAGGGAATGGATTTGGTGTGACTCCCTCGTAAATATGGGCCTCTTTACGGGCAACGTCGATGATGCAGCAGAGGGAGGTTTGGAGGTGCGGATGACGTTTAATCCCGATAGATAGATGGATGTTTATAGATACAAAAGTCCTTTGCAAATCTCCCTTCGGAAAAGAAATAAAGTTGGTTGTCCCATGTCGCAGATTTCGGTTTGACCTACGCCTTTGCTATTATGCCTCATAAGGGAAAAACTGCCTTTCAATATCTTCAACAGGAAAAAATCGGGGTGATATTAGTTATTCCATCACATCTTAATGAGAACATATCAGGATAGGATGAAAATTTAGCAGAAATTCGAATTAGGTATCTGAATTATTCATGTTTTTCTGACACATTTGTAGTTTGCATTTTCGGCATGTAACGTAGGGCATTACGTAAAGAAACCAATGTTTCAGATATCCGTTGCTAATTTGTGTGAAATGGGCTAATCCTTCCACGTGTACTCTCATAAGGTACTTGAATGATTTCCAACACGTTCGAGGTGGGTATATTTAAGTGTATTGTGTGTGGGGGGAGGGGAGCATAGTTTTGACTTCATTGGAATCGGTTTTAAAATTCTGACCTCTACAGTAAAGGCATGTGTGCAGAGGTCATTTTAACGAGTACTTCATGCGCTCTTTCGCGATACATTATGCTTCATCGCGTACACAATTCTATGATTCTGTCTGAAGAAAAAACGAAGTACCTTAACATAGGTTAAATTAAAAAGAAAAAAATAATTCCTCAAAACGAAAGTGTTGGAAAACAATCAAGTAATTTACCGCAAACACTCCTACATCACCTATCAAATACTAAAGAACGCCTTTCAATATCTCAAACGATACGAAATAGTTTATTATGTAACTAATTAAGAAACAATGTAAACGATTTACATACGTAATTTTTTGCAAAATTCCATTATAAATTTATAAGAGATTCAAAGTTAATTTTAAAAAAATTATTACGTCACCGGTGTTTCACAGCTGTGCCAACGAACGGTAGTCAGCCGTTTGGTTTACCACCATCACCCACGATTCGCTTGCTGCGATTCGATCGGCAATGCAGTTTATCGCCATCCCATCACCTCACGTTTCGCTCACTGAATGTGTAATGAAGTCATTATTCGTGCCATAAACGGCAAATAAGTAATATTTGCCCATTTTATGAACCATTTATTCCAACGAAAAATCGATTATACTGCTAATATTTAAGATGGAACTTGTTATAGCATCACGCCTTAATTTGACAGGGATGATCCGTACCTGAAATTGACATCGGATGTCTGAAACATTTAGGTTTCTCTACGCCGGTCTTGAATCAACATTTCAACAACAATCAACCTTGCCTTGAGTACAGTGAATCAACATTTCAACCTTGCCTAGAATACGAGCTTATGTATAACGAAAAAAAGAACTATTATGTAAACATCACTTTTTTGTTTAAAGGGCGTTTATTCGCTTCATATGGCTAAAACCCTTTAAGAAGGTTAAATAATGTTTTACTCGATCTATCGAGCTTCCTTATAAAGAGAACCTATTTTGAATGTGCAGAATAGCATACCGTATAAATGTAAAATGTTCTAAGAATAAACAGTATAAAATAAACCGTAACTCGTATACAAATGCTTTTGATTGACTAACTGAAAGAATATAAATAACTATATCAATATACACGCCAATTTAAAAACAAATACTAAAACAAAACATTACTATCTATATTCGCCAATTTAAAAACAAATATTAATACAAATTATAATGATTAACGAAGCCATCTTCAAAAAAAATTCTAAATAAAGATCAAGAGTGCTGACTCTTTACAATTCTGGTTTGAAAACCTCTTTTTAAAAGTTATTTCAATATGAAAAATATAGTTCATACATACATCTAAACTAAAGTAAGATTAAAATAGATCTCCATAACAAATTACAATACTACAACATCCCACATAAAATATCCTCTTTATAAAAATAGGAAACTACAACTGCCAAATTTACTTTTCTTATAATGTTACTCTTGAAATGTACTATAGTACATGTACTATAATACATTTCAACAGTAACGTTATAAGTAAGTGTAAGTACAGAAAGGCCTTTTCTCTAAAAGCGAATACACATAAATTTCGAAGTTAAGTAATCCTGAGTGAGAATTTTCGAAATTTGGAAGACTATTGTAATAATTAATGAGATGAGAATATAATTCTTTGAGTCCTACGACCAGAAACAACAGAACTACAACTCAACTTCCAATGGAATCCACAAAAGCTACACTTTCATTCAAAGCCCCTGAAATCATACGCATGTCGCGTGACTGGTGGGCATATCCTCGCGGCAACCTGCAGTACAGATGTGTATAACGGTACATTGTAAAAATAGTATTGTACTAATTCCAAGAGCTGATAATAGCTAGAAGGGCCAACCCAAAATAACCACACGTCGAGTCGTTTTTCAAATTTTCATCACAATCCACATTCATATTCTAAGTTGATTTTTTTTTATTTTTTTTTTATAGAAAAAATCCATATTAGCTTTTTCACTTCTACTTCAAGCACAACCCCGTTCTCTTGCACGATGGCGTGTATCAATTTTGCGCTCATCTATGTAAATGTTATAGCTTCAAACGCTTCTTAACAAGAGTTAAACGAAAACAATGCCATGCAATTCGCTCCGCACGTCTTCATTCCATTACCGTCAGAAACGAGGGGAACTAAACCCCCGTTATGTATAAACGGTTTCCAATCTCTGGCCATATGGAGCCTATACGATTATTATAGTTCTTAAAAATGTGTAATAAAAATAATTATCTTTTCATTAATTCTCATACTTCTTGAACGAACACAGTAATATGTCTACATAATAACACCTACCAAATTTACCGTTCATAATTTGATTCTCCTGATAAAATTATTACCATAACTTCCCAGGCGTGATGTGTGTCAATTATTAATTATGTTATGTCACTAAAATATCATTCTTTCGAATACTCTTTGATAAACAATTGCCTGAGCATTAAATGACACTCATGAAGATGGCAGAAATGTTCTAACACCTACTCTAATTTTGTTGGCTGTCTGCATCTGAATTTCAATTAAACAGGCGTAAAACCTAACAAATGCGCAAGAGGGAGATATTGACTTAAACAACTTGAAGTACAGTGAGATGTCGATTATCCGAATGTCAATCATCCGAAACGTCAAATATCGAAAGTCATATTTTCTCTGAATCGTTTTTTAAAAAAATAGGTACCTTATGCTATACACATTCATTTGCTTTTGTATCACTACATATTGAACATTATCTCCGATTTGATTGAAAGTGATAAAATATTAACGACATACTGTACTACAGTCAATCTTCTGACGTCAGTGAACTTGGACAAATCCTACAATAAATGCTTCAGAACTCGGAATGTTTATTATTATCAAAAACAGCATTTTATGTACACTTGCCATTTTTATGTTCGGATATCCGAATTATCGAATATCCGAACTAGTATACTTAGTCCCAATTAGTTCAGATAATCGACGTCCCACTGCAGTGCAATAGTAAATACGCATATTTTTTAATTTGCTGTGGTCGACAGGAAATAGCATTTGTTCTTATCGATTGGAAACTTGGCCTGCAAGGTCATAGTTTCCTGGACGGCACGGATATTCTATCACGACTCACCAAACTGACAGATTACTTGAGACCACAAACTATTCAATATTGTGTTTATACCCGCCTGTAATTAATAAAAAGAAAATACTACTTTTAACACTTTTTTAAACTAATAATAGTCCCTTATGTGCCCGTCACAAAAACCCGTATCAACGAGTTGACATGTCTTCTATTCAAATTAAATTAAAATTACACTATAGTTCTCGCCGAGCAGATAACAAAAAACTGACAATAACTGCGTGAAAAATTTACAAGCTTATCTAAAGAGATCATTAATGTAGAAAAGGAGAAAAAATTACTGTATCAAGTGAAAATGAATCGTGATTGAACAAAGCCTGGACGCCGAAGGAAATGTATCTTTTCGTTTGCGAAAACTCAAAATTATACTTTGCTTCCTCAAATTTGCAATATTATAAAATGTTTAATATGGAAGCTAATAAAAGCAAATACATGAGTTTATAGAATGAAATTGAATAAATTGAAAAAAAATAGAAAATTAACATAACGACATCAATATTATAAGACGCATATTTGCATACACACGTAGAAAATCGGTCATTTGAACAACAGAAGTAACCTTCATTTCCATACAGACTTTCTCATTGAATCTTGAATCACATTCAGTAAAAATTGTTCGGTTTGTTTGGAAGTGAAAACGAAATGAAGAAATATTTCAATGACTATTTTTCACGCAAAAAATGCACAGCATCTTATACGCTGGTTTAAAAATTTCGTAAAAGTAATGTCACTCGTATCACATTTTTATACTTTCAAAAAATTCGAGCCATTTGTTTACCCATTCGACTGAATTTACCATGTGGATAATAATTCATAATTCTTCGTGTATTGAAATTCTTTCGCCAATGATGAACTAATATTAAGTAAATTAGTCGCTTACATCACGCTCTCGCCCTTCGCGCTTCATAACGACGTTCAATTTGCACATGAGATTGGAACAGTCAAGAATATGTTTCCTGTAAAACACAATTATGATGGAATGTGAGAAAAGTGACTTATTACCTCTGTAAGGAAATATCACTGTACCCTAATAGTTTCCCCAAATACACATATGTGTAAAATGTTTCAATGTTTGCTTGTGATATGAATAGAAACGTTTAACAAAATATCAGAATAATGCAGTTACTTATTTGAAGATGACATCAGTATCTGTTAAAAAAAAGTAGAATGACTGAAAAAAATGATCAGTAATAATTAAGTATTTTGTTACACAGGAAACTAAAAACTGAAACTAAAAATGAATTTTATCAAAATCATTATCTTTTGAAGGCAGATCGTACCATAAAAGTCACAAAACAGTAGCCAGCTGCCATCTGCACATTGTCCTTTCTATCACCAAAAAGTTGTTCTGCTTCTGTTATCTTGTTGTTCAACAAAAGTTGAATGCCCTCTCGGGCCACTCTCCAATCACCATCTGTTTCCATTGCTTATGTCTCCATTTCTTGTTAAGATGAAAATGATGAATACCTATAATAAAGAATTAACTTGTAAATAATTCTTATTCTGTAGTACCTGCATGAAGACAAAAATTCAAAAATGGAATGTTGACCTTGTCATATATTAAAACTGTTGTATACACTACCACATAGTAACATGTAAATTACATAATAATTAAATTTATCAACACATGTTCTTTTATATTTGTAACATTTGAACTGCTATATCACAACTCCAAAAGCTTGCTCCTTTCTCTGAGACATTGATTTTGCCTCACACTTTGTATGAAAAATTTCTAGGTCACTTTACAACCAATTAAAAAATGTTTATATGTGAAAAATAATTTTAATTTTTGAAGAAATAATAAATAAATTATAAATTGTGATTGAGTGTGGAAGTAGGAGTTCTCTCGGCAGGAAATAATGAAATCAATGCCTGAATATGTAATCCTGCTTTGACAGGTAAATTTCTCATACTACTACGTTTGGTAAGTCCGGACATTCAATGTTAAGATGGATTTAGATCAAGAGCAACACAATTTTTAAATTAAAAATATTAATATATTAAAATTCATGTTTTAAATTGTCATTTATCAATGCAAAATAATTGAAGAAAATTGGAAAGTGTAAATGTATTGAATATAGTAGTTAGTTGCAGCTAACACGTGACGTAATGAGCGTGTGTATCGGTGTGTATTTGTATGTATGTACCGTTTATTTTTCTATGTTTCAACGTGATCAATACTGTTTTTGTGTGCAAGGTCAGTTCAAAATAATATATTTTGTGTGTGCTTTATTGTGAATCACATGAATGTGTAGTTGTATTAAGCGGTTTCGCGTTTATGGTATTTCTGTCCCCTTTGCTTGATTTGTCTCAAGTCATGGAAGCCATCTCGGCGCCAACCTTGCTCGTGGTGTTAATTTTGTTGCTGTAGTGTACATGTGCTGATTAAAGCTATAGCTTTTGTTTTGCCAGTAATAGTTGTAAATGCTCGCAAGAAAAGTCTTTACAAATAATTTTTATAATTTTATTTAGTTACCTCGACATAATTTAGATATCGACCGGCGTCAAATAAGGAGGTTAATTTTGTTCTTTTGTGTGTATTATTATTTTTATCTTTTTTGTTTAAATTAATTATAAAATCCGTATTTTTGTTTTAGGATTGGGCTAACAATGTGTAAAGATGTCTGTGCATTATAAATTCAAGTCTGCTTTGGAGTATGATACTGTCACTTTTGATGGTTTACATATATCTGTTAAAGATTTGAAGAAATCAATTTTGCACCAAAAGCGCATCGGTAAAAATACAGATTTTGATTTACAGATTACTAATGCGCAAACCAAGGAAGGTATGTTGGTATTTCATTTTTTTGGAGTTACTTTGCATTTTAAAATTTGTAATTGCTCATTATTGTGCAACTTCCAGTGTATTGTGATGATGGTGTTCTAATTCCTAAGAACACTTCTTTGATTGTGGCCCGAATCCCTCTCACGGCTCAACAGAAAAAAGCATGGTAAGAAAAATTTGCTAGTACGCCAATTTACAATAATAGGTTAATTCGATGTCAGTGATAATTGCATTGAAATATATGGTATGTGTGTTTTACCAAATGATTTGTATTGTGTTTCTAGGGATAGAGCTGAATCAAGTCAACAGTTGACAGGGCTCACCAAAACTGTAAGTCAAATCTTAAGCATAGGATTATTAAACTTTTTTTTTTCTTCTATCATTAGGTCTATCAAGAATGAAGTGAATGCTATTGCATGTTCATTACATGTTTTAATTTTTGGGTATTGTTTTTGAAATTTAGAGGTTAATCAGAATTTATTACAAATTTCATGTATGTTTTGAAAATTGATTAATTGTGTGGGTAAGATTGAAAGGAAAGTCCTATGAAATTTGCAACAAACTATGATTTTATCTTAAAGAAACTGAAGTCATTGTAATCTTAAGTACAAGCCCACTATTGGATGATTGTATTTGAAATTATTCTGTAATTTCCTACTGAAAAATATTGCTATTGGCATTGCTATTTTTCGTTTGTGTTGTAAAGTGTGTGGTAATTCTCAGTAGCAACTAGTTTAGGGAAATCTCTTTTGTAAAGGTTAAAAACTGTATGCATCCCGTATGTTGGTTATTGCTGGTTTTGCTATAGTGCTGTTGCTTTGACTGACATGAGACTTCTGCAGAGTCTAAACTCTCTTAATTGCTTGTGCTTTTTCTGCAATAACAATTTTTATGACAGGTAAAATAATTTTTCATCTATGCAGGATTCTGCATAGATTTTTTTTTTTTACATTTGTGGTTTGTAATTTGTAGTTGGTATTGGAAATAAAAAGTCGGCTGAAATGTAGTATACTGTACAACCTAAGGAAGTTCTTTAAACTGGCACTTTGCACTGCTATGCTGAAGGCTGCCACGTTGGAGGGGTCGAGGGGTGTTTAGGGGAATCTTTCAGTGGGACGGAGTGGTGAGCAACATGCATAACTTAGTACGTGTATGTAAAAATCAAAGTGTGGGTGGTTTCACCGGCTTTTTATTCAGAAAGTTTGAAACATAATGTACTCATTTTGGTACTAAATATTCATTATTATCTCTTGGGGATAAGGAAGAATTAATAAAAGAAATTAATTAAAGAAATGATTAAGGAAGAAAATAATCCCCCCACCCCCAAAAAAGTGTGCTTTACAATGATGTGTATCATTTTATTCAGAAAACTATACAAATTGAGAAAATATTGAAATCCCTAAAATATCAAAAATTGAGATTTTTGTTTTATGACTTCCCTATAGCTTGAGGGGACCACATTGCTGTACACTCTTTTATATTCAGGTCTCAAATTATTACTTATGTTAAGATAACTTTTTTTATCCAGAATGGAGATTACAAATTATAAAATGCAATTACCTATTATTTATTGTTGCATATTACTTCACTTTACCAATGGCATTACTGTGAAAGTTCCGTTTCCTTTCTCATTGCCTTCTGCTCCAATAAACGCAACAAGTCTACAAAAATAATTTTTCTACTATTTCACAGAGGGGTCTGGAAATAAAAAAAGTCCACGATTTTGTTTTCAATGAATATCACATAGTAAATTTTTGTTGCAATTCAAGTTTGTTTTATTCTGCATGTTTCGCATCCCTTGTGAGATGCAAATCTACTTTTGGGTGGAAGGCACCCCCTATTGATATTGCCAAGCTACAAATTTTATGATGTCATTTAATGAAGCTCATTTACTTATTTCAGTTTCTTGGCTTTCAAAGTGAAGTAAACAAGAGTAATTGCATATCTTTGTAACAATTGGTTTTTCATTAACTTTAAAAAGATAGTATTTAGTGAAATAGTTTCATAGCAAATTGAGTGTGGAAATTGTATCCATGACAGTAATGTACAAGACATGCAGATTTCATATCTAAGGTATACAACAGTCAAGGATCCATTCAAACGAAAATAGAAATTGGTTGTGCTTAGAAAATAGAAATTGGTTGTGCTTGGAAAATAGAAATTGATTGGTAATGTTTTCCAGTCGTAAAAGCATTTCTGAATTTGAGCAAAATTTTCTGGGAAAAATTGTGTCGGTCACATTGTTATCTTATTGTGTGGGATCTAATTGGAGAGTAGCATTAGCATAGACTAGAGCTGCCTTCTGCATGCCCACTTATTATTTTACATTGTCCTTTAGTCTTTTGGGTAGTAATGCATTGTTTGAAGGATATTCATGTTAACAAATAATATTAATAAATTAAAATATACAATATATTATAAATAATGATGTAAACGTTATGAGAGTAGAATGTAGATGGTGATCTATTCTGAACTTATCCACATTAGCTGTGACACATTTCGCTCTTGAATAAACACAGTTAAGAAATGTATTTATAAAGAATTGTATTAGTGCTGTTTCATATTAACTGTAATTGTAAAATGAATATTTATAGGAAATAAGTAGGTATTCTAATAAGTTGGAATATTATACACGTTGAAATTTCTGTGGTGTAAAATCTGTTGAGAATGATTAAATGAAATGATAGAATAGATATAGTGTTCATTATTTGGGTGAATGGTGCAGTGGCTTTGAGCTTTGAGGACCTAATATTTACGAATTTACTTCAAAGTTACAACAGATAATTCTTTTAATCAAATTGAATCAATTTAATAAATTTTTGTTTTTATTTGCAGGGTGAGACTGTCCCATTGGAAGGAAGTGATGCAAGTGTTCATCGTTTGGCAAAGGTGAATACCTTCAAACATATTTGTAAAGGGTTTTTGTGAACACATTGAGTGCCATCCATTTGAGGGGCTGTGGTGTCACTATGGGTCTAGAAATATGAATATTCTCAACTGCAATGTTAGTACTTAAGCAGCAGTACTGTGAGACATCGGTCTGTGTTCATTGGGTATACTCCATATTAGCCATCCTAAACATGTCCGAAAATTTTCTTGTGGGCTACTAGAAGCTCTCTGCCCTAAATTACTATCCTTAAAACAAAAAAACTTAGAACATCACTTTAGTATTGAGAAAACTGATTGAAAACTTGGTTTTAACATGCTTTTCAATTCAAGCACATTGAAGTATGAATATCATGGATGAGAATATCTGCTTTTCCAGAGATAAACTTTCATCAAGGGCCCAAACTGTGATACCACATTTAATGTACAATGTAAGTTATTTGAAGTACATTGACATGCCAACATGTAGACATCTGCAGGCCACGCTTCAGATACATTTTGTTTTACGCAGAAGGGATATGCTATCACTACATTCACAAAATACGACTGCTAGAATTTCTGTATGCTGAGTCTGCTGGCAGCCTCATGGCTTCTTAGGAGTCTCAGGTGATGGCACTCAATGTGTTCATAATTCTGTGGTGAATTTGTTTTAAGCAATTTTTTTAAATTTTGTTGTCTTTTGAGATTCTATCAAAATGTTTCTTGCTTCTGCTTTGAGCAGTCTTGAATAGGTAAATAAAGGTTGCTTGGCCAGATGATTTGTAATCCTCTTTCATATTAGCCACTTTTGAGGTGTGTTGGCTCTTTGTTCTTGACAAATGACTATTGAAATTTTGTTGTGAAGTATTATTGCAATATTTTAATAAATGTTAAAAGGCCTTTGAGTAATACGGGCCCATGAATCTGTATATCAATTTTACTTTTTTCCAATGCACGCAGATATTGAAAGACAACCATGCAGCTTCCTTTGGGATGATTTTATGGTTTCATTAGATATGCTGGTACTTGGCAGGAGTGGGGGGATGCAAAAGCATGTATATTACTAATATCGTTTGCACACAGAAATTGAAAAAAAATTATGCTGCCTGTGGCCTAGTAAGAGGTGTCTATGGTTTTTTTAGGTTCCCGGGAAGTCTGGAAACTTGAAAAACATTGAAACTACTTCAGTTTTGTCTGAAAACACAAATATTTGATAGTGTTATGCTGCCTATACCCATGCTATGCATACCAACTGAATTCTCATACTCATTGCTTCATTTTATACAACACAACTGACATAATGCATCACCAAAGCTCGAAGGAAAAGGCTGTCCATCATTAAATATTTGCTACTTATGGTTTGCATAGTGGTACAGCAGCAACAATTCTTTGAAATTCTTTGTATATAAAAAACTGTTGTACTGTTTATATGTATTATCTGTATATATTACTGTCATTGTAGTATTCACAAAGACTTTTTGTTAAAATATTTAATTTATTGCGATGTTATACAAGAGTATTTTATTTGTTCTTGAGCTGTGCGCATGGTGTATTTTGAAAAAAGTTTATTGTGGTTTTGTTCAGCATTTTTGCTGCTGCTGACCACTAGTTTATTACTTCTTTCCATTTTAGTTGTAATGTAAGTTATTCCAATATTTTTCAAAATTTTGTAAATTAATTTAATAAAATTTGTATAAAGCGAATAGACCTTGGACATGTAAGAACAAGAATGTTGAAATTCATTCGACAAATCAACAGGGTTGTAAACCTTCAAAATTAAGCAAATAGCCACAAACGCAAGAGGTAGATTGTGAACAGTGAATGTCACGAGTTTTAATGCTAGTACATTCAGTTTATTAATAGGATCCAGTTTCTTAGGTTTTAATGAATTTGATTAACATTGTTATTATAATATTCATATTAGTTTCAAATATTTCAAAACCAAATGCATGAATCCTAGTGGTTGTAAAAATAAGCAAAACAAGTTATCCTAAAAGAGTCTAAATCGTGGAAGAAGAAGAAATAAAGAAAAGTTGCAAGGAAAAGAAGAAGAATGTTCTACAAAATTAGTCTAAGAAGATTCATTTCTTAACTTGGTTTGATCAGAATTCAGTGGTGTGGATACGAGGGCGAGTCATATTAATGTATTCTAAATGCCACATTAATCAGCCTTGAAAAGAAACATATGTTTGACTGTAATAAATGAAGAGTCCCTTGGATAGGGTCATGAAAGACCTCAGTTTGAAATTTGACACTTTTTGAGGGGAGTGAAATGAAGTGCATCATATTTACTGGCTGTCAAATTAAAAGCAGATAACCTATAGTGACAATTTCCAAGTAATATAAAACACAAGTCAGTGTTCAGTGACCCCATAGTAATGATGATCACCATTCTACTATTTCACATAAGAAAGAAACTTACTGGAAACTTGTTGAAGTGATTACTCAAAATTTAATTAATTTATTAATATAAAAGTAATTGATAAAATGTTACCGATTGGTAGATGTAATTTCACAAATCTGATCGTTGGTTGTGAATTTGCTCACAAACACAAAGTTGAACTAGAGTTGGATCATAACATGTTGCCCTTAGTTTACTTCACTCTAATGAGTTGTCATTGAGGTTTTAGTCAGTTTCAGCCTTAGATGGAAAAATATTATCAATCAAGTGAACAGGAGTAATTGGTCACATGCTTGATCTTGCCAAAGAATTGTAATCCATTCTTCAGTTCTCGAACTGTGAATCGAGGAAACTCTTATACCATCGTCTGAGAGTGTGAAGATAAATCGTTTGGCTAATCAAAGAACAGTTCCTTCAAATTTGTCTCTCCTTGATATTGGATCTGTAAGTCACTTATGCTGTTTAGATAAAATAACAGGTGTCCACAATATTGTTCTGCTAACAGGATTTGTTACATTTGTTTTTCAATGAGAAATTTAAAAAAAATTATAGTGTATATCAAATTATGTATGTTTATTATCCCTGTTGATTCAACACAAGTCAAGAATTTGTGGATGAAGGCTCACTCACGTTCTGTTTAAAGTGTGCTGCTTCATTTCAAAAGACAGCTGTTAAGGATGTTGTTTTACGAACAATGAAGTACTCAGCATGTATGCTTTTGGTAAAATGATAATTCAGATCCACTTGTTTGATGACATCAGAAAAATTATTGACTTATGAGGTGGAAATAGATCTTTACTAGAGGATCTTTTTTTATGGTCGTAAGAAAATATATATTACAAGCCAATTGCTTCTTCTCTTCTAGCATTTATTGATTAGAGAGACATTGACTATGAGCCCCCTTTGACTCGTGATCTTAATACAAATTTTATTTACGAGTGAGTCAAACAAGTGAAAAAAACAGAAACCAAGTATACACACAAGAAAATAGAGAAGGATAAGGCGGAAGTCGAGAAAAAAGAAGATTAATGTCAAGAAAGGATACAAAGCAAGAATTAGAACAAGTTACTGAACAAGAGATTGATTAACCATGGCAAATTAATTAAAATGTTTTGATGTACCCAAGATTGTAGTTTTATATTAAGTACCAAAATGTGTTTTTGAACATGGTCTTCTCATTGTAATATTGAATTTACAAATAGAAAGATACTAATTCAAAAATAGAAAAGTAATTTGATTGAACAAAGTAGAAACCTAGTCTTATTTTTGGATAATCAATGGAAATTGATATCATAAAAAAATAAATGCAAAGAATTGGAAAAAACTTCAGAAGTGACATTAAAAACTCAGCAAGCAATGACTGGAATGAAATTATTATTGAAAACTATCATAAAATGGCCACTATCAATAATTGCTAACAGAGAAGTACAAGTTATTAAGTAAATATTTAGAATACGACATAATTGTTCAGATAGTTTTTATACAAGAACTCCAGAATTGAAAATCAAATCCTTATTACAATAGACTTTATAATTAACTCAATCGGCAACCTGCTCGCTGATAGTGGGTACTGCTGGTAGTGGAGCAAAAAATCGCAAGTGATATAAAAGCCAGTATTTTCAGAACTTTTTACAATCGCAGGTGTAATTGACCTGGACTACCACACCTGTCTACTGCTATGCCGTTAATTAAGTTGAAGCACTTGATGAAAAGTTAGAAGCAAAACAAAGTGTCAAATTACTTTTTAAAAAATAAACATCAGATAAATAACAAAACTCAAGCTTGCAAAACTAGCTCAAAATTCCCAATTTACAGAAATGCTCAAACATCATTTACTCAAAAATGGCTCCAAACGTTTTCTTCAAAATTTTCAACAGATAATGTTATTTCACTGTTTAACACGACATAATGTTCATTGTGGGGTATTCTTTTGTTTTCTCAAAAATTACACAAATGTAGTATTTTTTAAATCTCATCACAACATTAATATGAACAAGTTGCTACTGTAAATATAAACAATGTGAGAAACAAGTTAAAAAAATTACATTTTTGTAAATTTTGAAAAACCTAAAGAATAGAGCAACATAGGTGCATATATCATATCAAGAGTACAATTAGTACTATCCCTCCTCAATGTTTAAAGAAAAGATTTGCAGTCATATTTGAGAAAATTTTGAAAATATCTGGGGGGCTTCATGTAAAGTACCCTCCAATTTTTGAAGAAAGTTTTTCAAAATCGTAGCCCCTTAGATCCAGATTGACCGGGGAATATTAATTTTGGGAAAAAAATCGTATGTATGGTTTACATGCTAGTGGTGTTTACAGATGGACGGACATTTTGCCATCAATTGGTTTTTTGGTATCAAGGACCCACAAAACAGGGATTCTGGCTTCACCAAGTGTTCAAAAATTTTTACTTTAAACTTTTTGTACAAATTGTGCTAAATGTACTGTATAGGATACAATGAAATAAATATTGCGGTATTCTTTTGTTATTTAAAAACTTACACAAATGCAATATTTTTTTATCTCTGTAGTGTTATCAATATTTACAATATCGTCTATTTGTGTACATTAAGGTGTTTTGTTGTTGATGAGCTTCAAATGATGTCAGATAAAGTTT